CCCTCTTTGTTGGCTTACCTTTGGTTTCCAGGACCCTTTCGCTTGTTTAAGGCTCGGTGCCATTTTGTTTGTGGTCTTAAGGGAAATCTAAATCCCACCCTTCTGGGGGTCCCAATCCTAAAAAAATCCAACCCAGGTACGTTTGCACCAACAGCTCCTATGTGTCGCCCGATTCCGTGAGCTGTGTGGACGTGCCCTGCAGCCTGAACCCGCACCCGCAGGGCGTCTACAACTGCTGCCCAGATGAACCAGCCGGGTTAAGCAGTCTTTATGTTTGTACGCAATACTGTATGGGTGTGTGTGACAGTGTGTGTGTGTGTTCTTTAGGGGTCCCCCAGAAATGGCAGGCGTCCTTGTGGTGTCCTGTAAAACCACAAAGCAAAAGGGTAGCCTCAAATATTCACATTCCCATATGACCCATATGTCTAGCAGGGGGTCCCTACATTTCTCCAGAATGTGTGGCCCAATCTGTGGCTGATTCTCCTCGTGTGGTCTTCAAGGCGGAGATAAGGGGAGCGCCTTTTGGGCTCTTCAAAAATATGCGTATATTTCAGGTTGACTGAAAATGAATAACATTTTTCAAATGTCCCTGCAACATGCAGCAAGTAGACATCCAAGGTTCATAATCATATGATTTGTCCAGGGCTCATTTTTGGAGGGTTGTCTTGAATGATGCCTTTGGTTTTGTGCCTTTCTGAAGGAAAACGGGGCGAACATAGTTGCGGAGGCGCCGAGTTTCTTCCATGTTGGGACCGCGTGTTCTCCGGTTGGCCATCGGTCTCACCATTTGCTGGAGCCATCGGCTTGAAGCGAATCTCTGACCTTTTCGTCTCCCCTTTGTGGCGACGGGTCCTTTCGGCAAGTGAGCTTTCCCTGGGTTCTGGGACTTGTTCTTTCGGGGAAGACCATTTCTTATTTGTTGGACTGTTTCCGGCCAATTCGCTCAGTGTTTTTTTTGGAGAAAGACCGTTTTAGTGGTACAATGTTCATATTTTTTTTGCCAATCCACTCAAAGAGCGGGCCAGGCTTTATAATGCAAGGTTGTGATTGTGTTCTGATTTCTTGTTCCGTGGTTCCCTTCAAAGCTGTTTCCCGTCAAACTTGTGTTTCAGCTTAGTTGCCCTCTCTGGTGGCAGGTGTCGCGTTGAAATCCTATGTGCGTGCGGATTTTAGCTGAGCTTTCCTTTAAGTCCACAGGTTGCGTGCGAGCGCGTAGCTTTGAATTTCCCACAATCTAAGCCAACGGTTAAACCAGGGCTTAGTAGATGGACAGCCATGAATAAGCAGAAGCAGATGCACTGCAAAATCAACTAAATGGTCTGCAAACTAAATTTGCAAGGCACACTGCTCCTCACATGCGTAAGTAAAGGGGAATATTGGTCTAACCTGGCGGGGCAAGTGTGCCATCTACTTCAACCCAACTGTAGTTTTGTTGATTTGTCCTTTCAATTTCTCAAATATAGGGCAAGATGTTGCAAGTTCTTCTCATGTTTTGCGCCTTTGCATATTTCATCAAAAGTAAAGTGTCATTTTTCACGTGTTTCTCGTTTGTGAACTTTTTCTCAACAAATACTCCAGAGGGAATGAATTTGCACATGGTTGTCATTTTTCTGGAACCCCTAGTCGCCCCCATGTCGGCGCATGTGAAGGCTGGCGGGACAGTCTCTCTATCGTGGTGCCGCAGGCGTGGACAAAACGGGTACTCTCAGTGCCAAACTGGCTGAATTGTTGTCGCCAGTTGCTGTTTCCCAGGGCGGCGCCCCCGGTGAGCCTTGTTTCGGGTTTCCCTAAATCAACCGAAAACACGGGTGCCAGGCCACTGCGGGTCTGGGGTTTGCGCCTTTTGGCCCTCCACTCGATCGGAAGGGAGCTTAGCACGTGCCGCCTTTAGGCAAATGTCCGTTTCTGCATTCTCCCTTTCAGCCAGCAAAAGTACACTTTTTGCAAGGATCTGAGTCTGTCCCGGTATCCTGGTTATACCCCGGGATATCTTAAATTGGCTGGATCATAACCTAGGTGTGTGCACCGTCATATTGCAGCAGGCTTCATCCGGCACCAAAAACCCCAAACACCCAGCGGGATTTACGATGGGTCCGGCGCGCGTGCACCACGGGCCCAATTGGATTTACGGAAGATGCCCAGGTAAGACCTGAGTGTTCGGCAGCAACCTTTGTCTTAGCAAGGGTGCCCTTTAATCTGGGTGCCTTTGCCCGTGGTTGTAGAGGGTACAGGGCCCTTGTCACTCCCCGAGTTTTTGGGTCAAAACACCAGCCCCAACTTTGGGGATGGCCAGAGGGCCAAAATGCTGGTGTTCGAGGAGGCTCATTGTACATAAAGACTGAGCCCCGAACGACTTTTCAAACACCAGCAGATTCTCTTGCTGTTGCTCACGCTGCTATCAGCGGCGCGGGGCAACACGCTTTTGTGCCTGGGGTGTGGGAAGGTTGGAATGGCGGGGTGTTCACGTTCACATGAACTTCAGCGCGCATTCCCCATTGGC